TTCATTCTAAAGCGACGCTCAAAGCGTCCCGAATTTCCCAGTGGTTTAGTAATCGTCTCCACATTGAGCTGTGTCCTCAAAGGATTTATCTGTTTATGGCAGTTTCCAAGGGGGGTGGTATGGATGAAAGCTTTGTGGGTTTTTTAGGAAAAGTCAGGCAGTGCTTTGAAGAGATGTCCATTCTTATAATAATTGAGAAGAGAAGGTCTGGTGTCCTCACAGGTTAACAATGATTTTCATCGTTTCGTTCAGGTATTTATTAATTTCGCTACTGAGCAACAGAAATCCTCACAATCTACTGTGGCTACACCTACTGGGTCTCACCAGCCGCCTCACCTGCTTATCTAAGCACCGAAGGGGAGAAGGGGACGTTTCTAAGAGGAATAATACCCTGTCTTTTGTTACCATTCATCCTTAAAGATCAAAGGACCCCGCTCGCCTTAGAGGAGCTGGGAGTCAGGCTCCTGGTGGCCAGATCCATCCTCTCTTCCTTTCCTCTTTGAAGCTGTTGGCTAACTCATAACCAGCAAACTGGAAGATTGTTTTCTGTAGACTTTCAGGGAGTTCCTCCCACGTGGCTAATCCCTTTGTCAAGCCAAGGAGGGGCCAGCTTCTTCGTGACGAGTGAACCCAGAGTCCAACCTGAGACATTTTGCAGCTGTCGGAGACTGGCCATTCCTGAACATTTCACTGTACTTTTAAGGAAAGTGAGGCAGCCAAGGCTAGTAACTTTCCTGGCTGGTTTGTTTAGGAAATAGTACCTCGGAATGTTTGCTGTTTCTGTCCCCTTTCATCACTAGATAGGCTTACATGTGTCTACATAAAAGATCGAAGATTTAAACACACGTTTTTTTGTAATACTGGATATTATATGGGATGACATGTAAAAATTGCCACTTTTCACACACAAAAGATGTTTCTTAGGAAAATCAGAATTAAGGAGCTTTTTAGAGAACGCTTTAGCAAAATCAAGTAAATTGAACTGGGTACTCTGTGTCATTTATAAAAGTTTTGCCAGACTTCCACAGATTTTAAATATATAGGCAGGGATGGAAAGAAATAGACTGTGGATGTATTTTATTTTTTCTCAATCTCTCAGTTTTCTTAATGCCTCCTGGTATCCTGAGGTGCATTCTAGTTTTAAAGCCGGTGACGTAAACGATCTAGTTACTTCAGATTTTACCAGCAAAATCAGGACCTACTTTTAAATGCTTTAAAATTTTCTAACAGTTCTGCCATTCTCGGAATTACTGTGCTAGTATTTTCAGATAAAAAGCACGATGATGTAGTTCCAAAGGGCTGTAGACACTTGACATTCTGCATCTGATAGCAAAACGTGTGAAGTCCTTTTGTCCACCACTGAAAACCGTTTCTAGCCAGACATTTCTGAGCTTCAAGACATTTCTTAATCTTCACTGAGTAACGTTTTTCTCAAATCTCAATGGAGGGCTGCGTTAATTTTATTTTAAAATTTGACCTTGTCCACTTAAATTTTTGAGTGATAGTAGCTTGTGGCCAAAGGGAACCACTTTCCCATCACATTTCTTTACTAATGCAGGATTTCGCTAAAATCTGTCTTTCCTGATATCATTCGTACATACTGGAGGTATTTTTAACTTGTCAGGATTCAGCCAGTCGTGGAGAGTTTTGCTGAATGATTTTGATTCACATGAATCCCATGAATTACGCTTTCTTTAAGTTTAGGGTTTAGGATTTCTTACAGTTTAGGGTTTTTGACAGTTTAGGGTTTATGACCTCCCCCTCAGTTCTGACAGTCTCACTGTCAAAATGGAAGATGTAATCCTTTGTGATGATTGTTGTTGAATCGATCCATAAAATCTGTGACACAGGAATGTGTTTATACTGCAGTGAATAAATGAGATGTGCTTTGATTGAGCCTGATTCTTGGAATGGACTTGTGTATTTTCTTGCATCGTTAGGGATCCCGTTTAACCGAGCTAGGGAAGAAATGTACCTATTCAAGATCTTTTAAAGCTTGAAAAGGTTACAGTTTGATTGAGCTTCAGTCTGTGATGTTCTGCTCGTAGGGATTCTTCTCCACCCTTTGAGCCGCTGTATTTTTGAAGGCTGTGTTTCCAGGTAAGCCTTTGAACAATAAACAGGAAGAAAAAAGAAACTCACTATGTGAAAACGCCATACCCCAGAAGACTGGATAGGAAAGGTCAAATCTTATGTTAGTGTTGAAAATGTCATTGCATTTATAAGTCATGCAGATATTTTATGCCTTTGGAGTTAAACATTTGTCTTAAGACCTTTGGGCTTATGGTCACACAACTGAGACTTTTAAACAAACTGCCTTCTTTGGAAAGCATTCCGAGTAGAGTTCTTTGTAAGGCTGAGATCATCTTGATTATTCCTGTTCCAGCAACCCAGCTTTTATTGTACGGTTTATCTTTACCAGGATATTTAAACAGAGGATGTATGAAAGCCCTCATGCAAAATCGGGATTGGAGAAAGCAAACAAGAAGTGTATTTTTAGAACAGTAAACAGTGGGGGACTTAAGGTTATAGTTGGCTTGGGTTAGTTGATGTTGAATGTTGAACCGAGAAAAAGAGCAGCATGATCGCTCTAAAACCTTCCACGAAATATACACCCTCCCCACCCTCCCCCGCGATTTGGTGTTCATGAATATGACATGAATACTTTGGCTTAATCACAAATTTCCACACACCCCTACCCCCTCAAATGGGGGATAGACGTTTAAAATTTTTAGACCGATTTGGGCATGTTTTCATGTTTGGCTTTGCTGTGGTGTGTTGGAGTATTTCAGGTCTGTGATGATTTGGGTATGGTATGCTGATGACCTTACAACCCAGTTTGGCATCCTCGAGTAATTCAGAGCCCCTCACACACACAGACAAACACACACACACACACACACACACGTTCATCTTTTTCATTCATACTGTTGAGCCCATTCTATGTGCATAAATAGATGGTCAGTATGGTAAACATGGGGGTGGGAGACTAACAGGTGAAGGACCCCCAGTCTGTTCCTTGAGAACCATGCAGTTAGGCGGGGAAGGTGAGGTGGGATCTGCAGGCAACAAGCACTCCCTGCTCTGGGGCCATGCAGTGGGTCCTTCTAACCCAGGGTGCAGGTACCAGCTTCATGGAATAGTTACCACCTGGGTGGGCCATCACAGATGGAGAAGTGGAAACAAAGGGAATATCAGAGCAAATCGACAATTTTCCATGGGCAATGGATATTTGCCTGCTGTTCTGATAGAAGCTGATACAGCAGCTCCACAGACATCAAAAACCCAGCTCTGCCATTTTTAGACTCTCCCTCATATGCCAAAGTGGCTGCTGGAGCACCAGCTCTCACAATATTTGAAGCAGAAAACAAACCAGATTAAGGGGGGAAGAAAGCACACCATTTAAAGAGGCCTCCTGGCAGTCTACCCCACATACTCAGGCGTATAGGACATTGTCATGCAGTTTTAGCTGAGTCCCTAGAATGAAACGAGAGTTCTGATTCTGTATAAGAACAAAATGGGTGCTGGATAGACAGCCAGCAAGCTCTACTGTAGGAACACAGAACCAGGTGTGTGCCATTTGCATGAGAATGGAATAAAATCACTTTGGGGCATGTTGAGTAAACCAACTAATAGCAAATGATGACTATCTTTGGGCATTCCGCGTTCTGAAGATTTCTATTTTCAGAGTTAAAGTAGCATGGTAAGATATACAGGTCAGATACCATCTGTGTTTATAAAGATATTGTCAAGTGGAATGCAGTAGCTAAGGGGGAGAAAGAAGTTTATGGATATTTTCCATTTGGACTTAATAAATAGCCCTGTCACTTACTCACATTGGGAATTCCTATAAGTGTTTTAATAGATAATTTTTTTTCCCTCTGGAAAGGGTTTCAAATTGCTGGAAGAAGTCAGAAGCATTTTTTCTTACTTCTTGCTTTTGCTTGTCATTGCAAAAGAAACACTTCACCATGTTATCAGTGAATCCATCACATTTTTCTTTACATGTGAGTGTTTTAAGGAAAAATGGGGTCTACTGACTGAAATGTACATCTCAAACCTAGCAAAATTCGTCGCTTAAAAGATACATCTAGAAATGTCAGGAGCACAGCTTTCTTTTATTTTATTTATTTATTTATTTATTTATTTATTTATTTATTTATTTATTTATTTAAAGATTTTATTTATTTATTCACAAGAGACAGAGACAGAGAGAGAGAAGCAGAGGGAGAAACAGGCTCCCAAGGAGCAGGGAGCCCGATGTGGGACTCGATCCCAGGACCCTGGGATCATGACCTGAGCCGAAGGCAGACGCTTAACCATCTGAGCCACCCAGGCGCCCACAGCTTTCTTTTAAATAGAAGGGAATGTTGTGAACACCATGTTTGTGGTGGCATTTACATCTCATGCGTGTGGTTTGTCTTGCTGAATTTCACCCATTACCAAATTGTGGTGGTATATTATCTGGTTTGTGGTTTTGTCCTTGAGAAACCAGGAACGAGGCTTCAGATCAACTTTCATGGGGCGTCATGGTGGTGATGAGTCCTTGGGTACCGTACTTGTCCCCACTTGCACACTGGGGCATGCTCTGCTCAAATGTAGTCATGGGAAGACTTCTTTCACCCCAGCATGAATTTAATTGAATTAGGATTACAGACAAGGGCAAAACAGCAGTCCAGGAGAAGTCCACTGGCTGGGCATCAGGAGACCTGGCTTGACTTCCAGCTTGAGTGGGATCTTTTCCACTGAAACCCTGAGCTTCTGTTTTCTTCACTTTTACAATCAGGACGAGATCTCTATATAGCCTAGTGAAATAAGCAAACCTCCACAGGGAGTGCATGAATATACAACATTAGCAAAGAAAGCAGAGCAGATCTACCGATAGAAATGGGGTGTAGGAGAATAATATGAAAAACTTTATGCAGATTATTTCAAGACAGATGAAATAGACGAGATTTTTCGGAAACCATTAATGATCGAGATTATGTCAAGAAAAGCAGGCGGGCTGATTCGCTGCGTGAGGTGCTTCCTTGGGGTGCTTGAGCCCACTAGGAATGGCAGCCCCGTCTATGAAAGAAAGACAGGCTTGCTGGGGAGCCTGGGATGAATACTGGAAGTGTTCAGATGAGAACACAGAGGACGCTTCTCAGTGCAAGAAGTTAAGAAGCTCATTTGAATCCAGTTGTCCCCAACAGTGGATAAAATATTTTGATAAAAGAAGAGACTACTTAAAGTTCAAAGAAAAAGTTGAAGCAGGACAATTCCAGCCTTCAACAACAACTGCAAAGTCCTAGGCTGCTCCTGAACTTCTCAGAAGGTTTGAATCATGGTAAACCGCATGACTCGGTCCACATTAACAACTCTTTAAAATGATCAAGTAACAGAGATTCCATCATTCAAACTATGAAGAATCAAAATGGTATGAAAGATGCTTAGTTTTAATTTAGTAAGGAAGCTATATTTTAAGGAAAATTAAAGCCTATTATATATATATATATATATATATATATATAAAGATTATGTCAAGAAAACAACTAGCCACACGAGAAAATGAATTGGTAGCCATGGGTCATCACCCTACCTTTAACTTAGCCCAAGACAGGGGACCCAGATGGCTTTATGAGTCATAGAGATAAACTATGTTATACAACTACTTTAGGAAATAAGGAAAGAATTCCTATCAATCTCATTTTAAGGCTAATATAGCCTTGGCACAGAAAGTTCTCCAAGAACAGAATTAAAGCAAGTATAGGGCAACTTCATGTACAAACACAGATATAGAAATATTGGTAAATGGACCTCAGTAGTGTGTAGAATATGGCTCATAATCAGTATGATTTATCTAAGGATTGCAATGGTGGGTCAAAATGAGAAACTTGGGCGTGTGGGTGGCTCAGTTGGTTAAGTATCTACCTTTGGCTCAGGTCATGATCCCAGGGTCCTGGGATCGAGCCCCGCATCGGGCTCCCAGCTCAGTGGGGAGTCTGCCTCTCCCTCTGCCGCTCCCCCTGCTTGTGCTCTCTCTCTCTGTCAAATAAATAAAGAAAAATCTTTCTAAAAAATGAGAAACTTAATGCAACCCACTGCGTTCAAAGGTAAGAATGTGAATTGTCTGAGATGCAGACAAGATATTTCCTGAAATATATAAAATATATTAGAAAACTAACATGTTAAAATTAACATTGCAAGTGAATTTCCACAATCTGATCAAATATATCTAATCCTATGTATGAAATGTTACAAGCTGACCTGTGTTGTTCTGTGTAAATACACGATTCCTCTCTCGGGGACTTTGCCCTGCTGAGCTTTTCTCTCTTCTTTCTCTCTCTTGGCACTGGGTCCTCTTCTTCAGCATTGAAGAGGCCCTGTCTGTGTCATTTTATGACCTAGCCTGTCAGTGGCTCTAGTCCCCCAGGAGCCCCTCTTCCTGGCCCGCGGGCCAGACTCTCCGCAGCCCTTGCAGCCCCGCGGACCCGCAGGGCCCCCACCTACCGCGCTCGGGACACGGCTCGTTAGTGCCACCAGAACAGCCCTGGCCGAGACGGCAAGGGCCTCCACGTAGTTAGGGATGGACTGACATCGGTTGCTGGTTTCCCCACCTGGTCCTTCACCGTCCTCTGAAAGGCTCTGTGACATCGCACTGGACCGCGGTCCTGCTATGGCGCTCCCACCGGACCACGTGCCCCATCGAGTCCTGCTGGCCAACCACCTGCTTTCTGCATTTCTGGTGGCTGATACGATGAATACTCACTGCTGTCAGAATACAGCAGAGCATCGGCAGTGATGCCCGGACGCCCCGACTCGCTACCCCGCACACACTTCTCCCCCCGGCTGCTTGAACTGCCTTAGCCTTTGCATGCTTGAAATGAATCCCCTGCTGCCGCGGATGTGTACGTGGGAGTCCCTCTGTGGGGCTAACCTGTCCCCTCCACGGGTCAGCCTGAGTGTGGTCCTTTCTGGATGCTTCTCTGCACACTGCCCAGGTCCCTCCCTCCATGATCCCTGTCACTGCGACTGTGTACGTCGTCTTCCCAACAAGCGCCGTGGGGACAGTGTCACTTGTGAGCAATTACTTGACCAAGCTCATCTGCCCCACTAAACTGTGGTTACCACTGGGCCAGTGGCGTGGCGTGTGTCTGTGTGCGTGTGTGTTTCCTTTCTCCATTGGATTCCCGAGGCCTGGCCCCAGATCAGTGATCACTGGATAGTTGTTGAGTTGAGGCTTCCACGAATGAGTGAACGGCCATTGATTTGCCCTCAGAATAACCAGGCCGCTCCAGTCCTCCGGGGCCACGTCTGGTGGGGACGCGAAGCCAGCAGAGAAAAACGCACAGAGAAAAGCAAGGAATGCTGCTGAGCTGAGGTGGAAGCTGCTTATGACAAACAACCACATCCCGAGCAGGGGGTTCCGTGCTGCCAAGAAAGGCACGGAGTTCTGACGGCACCCAGCCTGCACGAGAGGAAGCAGGTGCAATAGGAGGGGAAGGTGGGTGCGCTGGGGTCTGGGCAGCCGCTCTGCAGGCGGGGACCTGGCGCGGCCCCATGCCTCTTGGCAGACACGGCGGCTGGAAGCAGGGGTGTGTCCTGCGAGGTGTGTCGTTCAGGGAGAGAGCCTGCCCTGCCACCTTCCCGGAATTCATCTCCTGCTCGCTTCATGGAAGCGGCCTTGATCAGACTCCCGGACAGCAATCCTGCCACCACCACCATGGGCCTCCCTACGGTGGCCGCTTTCCAGAGTCATGCTGGCCCATGAAAGCCTCTCTCTTCCTCTGCTGACCCCCAGTCCTTTCCGCCTCCTCTTCTCCGTCCAAGGAGCGATGAGCCCCACCACCCAGCCCCTCTAACCACAAGCCGAAGGGCTGATCTTACACACCTGTGCTTACTCTCCCACCTTCCAGAACTTAATTCCAAGACACACTCATTACTGTTTGCTCTCTTAATTGTTTGAACCTCCCCTGGCCAGGTCAGAGTCAACTGTGCAGGCCTCTGAGTGTTTGGATTCCTATACCCACCTTTATTGTTAAAAAACATCTTTGTATCTTTTTTTTTCAAAAAGCATTTCAAAATCAGGGGCGCCTGGGGGCTCAGTCGGTTAAGCATCTGCCTTTGGCTCAGGCCATGATCCCAGGGTCCTGGGTCCCTGCTCAGTGGGAAGCCTGCTTTTCCTTCTCCCTCTGCCCCTCCCCCTGCTCACGCATGCAAGTAAGTAAATAAATAAATAAATAAAATCTTTAGAAAAATCATTTCAGACTCAGACCCATTGTGGTAGTCCTGATGTTGGATCCAGAATGAGCGTTCTTGCACATATGAGGACGTAGGCAGGACCCACGTTACCCTTAAAACTGCATCTTCGCTGTTAGTGGGCACCACAGGAAATTCAGCCGGGAGTGAGCCATCACTCGGAACAGACCACGCCTCAGCTTCAGGTTAGGCTCCGCGGGTTCTCAGCTGCTTCTGCTGCCCCCCCCTCCCCCCCCGCCACGGGGAAGCGGCCCGTGCTGGTTGTAAATACCTGTGCACGAGCCCACAGCCATCCACGACACCAGAGTCCCTGTCCCCTGGAAAGTCTGGTCCTCTAGAGTGAGCAAGGCCACCCCAACACTCCTGTGTTGTCCTGGGAAACCCTCACTCGCTCACAGCCTTCTTTAGAGGCGTGAGACGTGGATACGTTTTCCTTCAAGTTACTCAAAGTGAAAAATGTAGAATTACCTCCCCCGCTCCCCGTGTAACTATAATGTCCACAAGGAAAAGAACGGCCAGGTTCCAGGTGCCAGGCGTGCAGCTTGTTAATGGGATCACCAGGACATATTAACCACACACCAACTAAATTTAGTCTCCTTCAAGCAAGTTGGTAAAAGAACTTTTCTTGAGAGAGAGAGAGGAGAGAGAGAGAGAGCTAGCAGGGGAGGCAGAGGGAGGGGAGAGAGAGACTCTTAAGCAGACTCCATGCCCAGGGCAGAGCCCAGCTCAGGGCTCGATCCCAGGACTCCTAGATCACGACCTGAGCCGAAATCAAGAGTCGGACGCTTAACTGACTGAGCCCCCCGGGTGCCCGGTAACAAAGATCTTAATAGGAATTTGGCATCTCTGGGGAAGGGCGTGCATTGTCCATCAGATAGAAGCAGAAAATGCCATTATTACCGATGACAACAGTATGTCCCATGCTTGTGGAAAACAGTGCTGACGTTTTAAGGCTGATTATCATACAGGCGCCCAAGACGGAGACGGACCTGGGACCGGGCACAGTGAGTCCTGGGAGAGGTGTCCTCCAGGCTCGGAGGGCGGCTGCTGGGGCAGGGCAGTCTCAGTCTGCAGGGCCAGAGGTCTGCATGGGAATAATGAGAGAAATGATGGTGCCCTGGCAGGCCCGGGGGGGCCCAGCGGTGTGCAAGAGCCGCACCACCCGAGACACCTCTCGCCCTGGAATCACCTGGCTGGCGCCTGCATCGCCTCTGCTGTGGAGGGAACCAGTGCCTGGATGTCAGGAGAACCTACGAGAGCATGGAATTTATAACAATGGAAGAATAGAGACATGGGTGCTGGGCGCCCGGCGGGCCCTTCTAAGACAAGTTTTGTTTCTGGATCTTTCTTCTTAGATCTCAATTTTTATGTTGTCTCCATCTTGCTCTTGTCCTCCAGATTCTTACAGGTCTCCCGTCCAGTTTTCCAGCTCACCCCTTATCTTCCCTCCAGTCTTCTACATAGAAAACACGAATAGGAACTCCCCATGCGGTTCTCATCTTATGCTGTGGGCGAACATCGAAGCACCGTGACCTGAAATAATGAGTGCTTCTCAGTGTGGTGTGAGCAGCCCTCCGTTTCCCAACAGGGGCCAGAGGCTGCCTCTGGGCAGCTTGCCTGTTGTCCTTGGGCATTGGAAAGACCTTTAATAAGGGAAGAATGCCTTTATGGTGGTAGCCCTTCCAAATCAATGTACACAAAAATACCACCAGAATACCTTACGGAATATGGAAGTGGAAAGACATAGTAGAAAAATTGGGTTTTCAGACAGACATGCAAAGGAATGAAACCGAACCACTTTCTTTCACTATACACAAAAATAAACTCAAAATGGATTAAGGACCTAAATATGAGACCTGAAACCACAAAAGTCCCAGAAGAGAGCATAGGCAGTAATTTCTCTGACATCAGCTATAGAAACTTTCCAGATACGTCTCCTGAGGCAAGGGCAACAACAGCAAAAATAAACTATTGGGACTTCACCAAAATAAAAACTTCTGCACAGGGGCGCCTGGGTGGCTCATTTGGTTAAGCATCTGGGTCTTTATTTTGGCTGAGGTCATGATCTCAGGGTTGTGAGATCAAGGCTCTGTGCTCAGCATGGAGTCTGCTTGAGGATACTCTCCTTCTCCCTCTCCCCCCTCCCCGCTCTCTCTCTAAAACAAATAAATCTTTTTTTTTTTTAAATCTTCTACATAGTGAAGGAAACAATCAACAAAGCTAAAAGG